CGTTTTCTTTTTTCTCTAGCTCAAGGGTCGGTATTCTTTAGGTATGCCATTTGCCTTAACAAGTATTTGCTTGTTGCACAATAAAATAAATTGGACTTATTTTTCTTCTAAGAAATTTTCAGGTGGGTAGTACAACCCCCGCCCCTGCTTGGCATTTCCAGTTGGCGTCAGTGGGCCCAGAAGAGAAACGACTGGCGTGCTTTGTTGAACACGGCCAAAATCGCTTAGGCGGTTGCAGCGCTAAACAAGAAGAAGAAGAAGACTGTATATTGGAAGTGTGGACTATAGGTACGGTGACCATTCGTCCCGATTTTACGAAAATTGTTCCGCTGAATATTTTTTAAAATTCTAGACATTTAAGTGTCCCGATTTTTCATATTTGTACCGATTAACAGCCTGATTCTCTATCTCGAAGCGAGCGTTCATCGCGTACAAACAGCCGTTTGTTCGTGTATTTGTATTATCTAATGGGCCGTTGTTAGCTTATGGGCTGTTTTTGCTTACGCGTAAAAGCACATTTAGCGCATTTAGCTCTAAATGCTACTCTAAATGTACATTTATCCATACAAAATTCGTCACCTAATTGCAACTAAATGCAACTCCATTTTTGCATTAAGAATCTAAATGCTAAAAGCAATCCTGTGATCTTCCAAAATTTCCACGATTCGAACATGGTTTAATGAGAAAAAGTGGCAACATTGCATTTTCGAGTATACAGTCGCTAGCTGGGTTTCAGTGATCGCCGATCGAGATTTCATTTATTATTTAAAAAAAAGAAGGGCGGCATTATCTCCATCATCCGGAGCGGTCCAAAGGTCCTTCCTGAATGGTAAACGCCCAACGTGGGCAACACCCACCCTGACACGGTCTCCTGCCTCGAGAGCTCAGCCGGGCATGTGTTAAGGAGATTTGCTTGCCATACAAGTGCATAATTATCTAAATACAAGAACCTAGTTTACAGGGAGATCAATATACATACATTGCTATGGTGAAAGAGCTTTACTTTGTTTGTACTTTGCAGGGCAGTTGTGGTGTACGTATTCGGTGATCATTACCTCTCCGCCGACTTGACCCTCATCGTTGGAGAGATGCATTTAAAAACCGTAATGGATTTATTGCTTTATATCCTTGGCATGCCATGCTCCCAGGCTCTTTCCCGTAAGTGACTCCAACAGGTACATGTTATTGCCAAGCGCTTTTGTTACGCGACACTTCGTAAACTTTCTGCTAAATTTCGCGTTTACATTTGGTTTAAAATCGCTTAGCACAAAGTTGCGTTTATAAACCTCTTGGCCCGGACTAAAACGCACCTCACGGATTCTTTTATTGTAACGTGGCGCATTTGTCTTGTAGGATTCACACAGGTTTTCCTTTATTTTCTCGCGCATTATCATGAGTCTATCACTGGTGTCGAGCAAGCGCAATTCGTTATCGTCCAGGCTATTTAATTTTCTCGCGAGTGCATAATCCGCGCCGTTGGTGAACATATTCACACCGAATAACGCGAAATATGGAGACACTCCGGTCGCCGAGTGTACCGCGCTGCGAAGGGCGCATTCTATTTCTGATAAGTACAGAACCCAATCACGGTGGTCTTTATCGAGATATGATCTGATGGCGGCCAGCACTGATTGATTCACTCTTTCGGCTGCGTTAGATTGCGGAGCGTACTATGCTGTCTTCAAATGTTTTACGCCATAGTTTTCCAGCAATTGCGTGAATTGTTTCGATATAAACTGTTGCCCGTTATCGGAGTGTACGGTTTCCGGCACACCAAATTTATGAAAGATCTCTTCCGTGAGAAACATTACCACATTTCCGGCGGTGGCGTCGCGCATTGCCTTCAGAAAAATAAATTTCGAAAAATGTTCTACAACAATAAAAATGTAACTGTTTCCGCGCTTTGACCTCGGATATTTACCAAAAAAGTCCACTTTAATTTTCTGGAAGGGGCGTACAGTAACTACTTGGTTTCCCATGCCAGGTTTTAAAATCGCGTTACTGGGCTTTCTTTCCTTGCACGTTTGACAATTGCGTACAAAGCTGCGGACCTGTACCACCATATTTGGCCACAACCACCGCAAGCGATGGAGTGTTTTGGCCATACCCCCGTGTGCGTTGATTTCTGGGCTGTGCGCGTTCTCTATAAGAGTAGAGGTTAGTGCTTCTGGTATCCATAGCTTCCATTCGGTCTCCTCGAGTTCTGCGTTCGCGGACAAAATCTTTTTGAACACTAAACCGTCTTCTACCTTTAAATCCGGCAGCCGCTCTGCGTTCGCTTCGATCGTCCTCACCAGCTCCTGATATTCTTTAGAATCGAATTCTACAGTGTCCATGCCAGCGATTGGGGAACTTGCGATTTCGTCGATACATCGCGATAGCGTATCGGCAACTATGTTGTCCGCTCCTTTGCGGTGCTCAATGTCAAAATTAAACGCTTGCAGTTGTAGTGACCACCTGGCTAATCTACCATTCAAGTCTTTCAAAGACATCAGCCACTTCAGGCTAGCGTGGTCCGTTACCACCGTAAAAGGCATTAAATCCATATACGGCCGGTATTTCTTAACAGCCATCACAGCTGCGAGGCATTCTTTTTCCGTTGTGCTATACTTGCGCTGGCAGTCGTTCAGTTTTTGTGAAAAGTACGCAATTGGCTTCTCCACACCCTCATTTTCCTTTTGGTATAGAACAGCGCCCACACCATAATCAGACGCGTCACACTGAACCCAAAAGCGTTTAGAGAAATTTGGGTATTTAAGGACCGGTGCGCTCGTGAGCGCTCTCTTCAGGCTCTTAAACGCCTCCAAGGCTTGCGTGGTCATTTCGAATTTCTGGCCCTTCTTCAACGGATTGGTTAACGGCGCCGCCATCGCGGCGAAATCTTTAATAAAACGCCTGTACCACCCGGCAGTACCAAAAAAAATGCGTACTTGTTTAATAGATTTAGGGGCAGGAATGTTTTGTATGGCTTTAATCTTTTCAGGATCAGTCTTTAGCATGCCGCCACCTACAATGTAACCCAGGTAGGGTAACTCTTTGAAACAAAATTTTGATTTACTTAATCCTATTGTTAAATTTGCATTTTTCAAGCAGGTTGCAACTTCGCTTAGGTTCCGGAGGTGCGAGTCGAGGTCCGGCGCAATGATCAGTAAGTAATCCAAGTATATAAAAACGTTCGATTTGAGCTTTTGTGGAATCACACGGTCCATTAGTCGACACAACCTTTGCGCAGCATTGCATAATCCAAACGGCATTGTTACGAATTGATACAGTGGTCGTCCCGGCACTGTAAACGCCGTATATGGTTTGCAACTCTCCTCCAGCTCAATTTGCCAAAATGCGTATTTTAATTCGACGGTGCTTATGAAATGGGTGTCATCGATTCGGCTGAATATGCCCTCGATGTTTTGTAATGGATTCGCGTCTTTTACAGTCACGGCATTTAGTTTACGCGCATCCAGGCAGAAGCGATTCTTTCCGGGTTTACGGACGATTGTCGTACGATTGCTCCACGGGCTTTCACTTTCTTCGATCACACCCAATTATAGCATCTTGTCGACTTCGGCATACACGATTGCTTGAATCGCCGGAGACAACTTTATGGAGTTCTTTTCCAACTGAGTACGTGCCAATCCGTGCTTTTCATACGTTTTAAACCCACTCTCCACCAGCTCCAAGCGTTCTTTTTGGTCTGCCGAAAGGATTTGCAACACGCGCCGCTCATTCCTGTCTTCTTCCGACACCATCTCTTGTTCTAACTTGGTCAAATCAATTTCATTCACGGATATCACTTCTGGGGCCAAACGGAAGGCGCGCCAGAAGTCCACCCCAAGGTAATTCTTTTGCTATAGGTATGGGCATAGAAAAAATGTAATGTTCTGTTCTAAGTTTTTGTATTTCACAGGTATGGTGAGCTTGCCTAGCACATTGTGCGNTAGGTATAGGCATAGAAAAAATGTAATGTTCTGTTCTAAGTTTTTGTATTTCACAGGTATGGTGAGCTTGCCTAGCACATTGTGCGCACGACCGCCTGCAGTTTTTACACAAGAAAAGTAATGTTCGATTGGTGCGCCTATCTCTACCACGAACTCGCGACAGCCCCGGCCCAGAATGCTTACAGACGCCTCAGTGTCTAATAAGCCCCGTGTCAATACCTCTTTTATTTCTATGACTGCTTAAGCGCGCGGATCCTGTTGATCAGCGTTTCTTATCGACGCTACGACTTTTTGCCGCAGTGTTTTCTGCTGATGGAATCTTTCACGGGCCTTTTGTATTCTTCGCGACACTCCTCGGCGTCCCATTAGGGCACTATCCGCGAAAATTCGTCGGCGCGTTTCGAGATAGTTCCTTAGTCTATCTTCGTAAGATGGCCTACTCCCATTACTTGTGATTGCTATGTTTCCCTTATTTACTGTTTTACTAGAAATAATATTTTTCGTTTTGGTTTCAGATGAGTTTGCATCACGGCTCAACTCATCGCCTGCTTTTGTATTCGTAGAGGCCTCAACTCGTGCGGGGTTTGAGTGGAGCGCGATTCCCGCGTCGTAATCGCGTTCCGTACCGAGTTTCCCGCTGGAGTACACGTTGGACACTTAGGTGTCATCACATCCAACTTTCCGCACTTGAAACAAAAAATTCGACGTTAAAGCGACATGCATTCGGTGAAAAAGTGGCGCTCGGCACCACAGTCCAGCATGACATATTTTAGCGCCCGACTGGTGGCTTAGCTGAGCGTTTATGGCGTATTTCCTCCACGGTGACTTGACACTCATCACCGGGAGTAAAACGCTCATCGTCTTCGGTTGAAGAGATTTGATTTACCCGCTGTGCGCGTTGCAACAAATCACGCGTTCCCGACGCGGAAAACATCGCAATGCGTTGTGATGCAAACTGGCGTCTGAGCGCAAATTGTAAACTGGGCCAGTCGACCTTACCGTGAAAACGGATATACAGCCAGTACCACTCACGCGCCTCTCCGCCCAATAGCCGATGGAAATCGCGTAATATCTCGCCCCCCGAGCACACGTATTGCCCTTTTAAGTACTCTAAACGGAACAAAAAATCTTCGATAGACATAGAATCGCGATGTCCCTGATAATTTATGTATGCCCCACTTTTCGATATTGATTTCCGATCTACTAATTTCCTTGTTGTTTTCTCTTCCAGATGCCGGACCAACGACTTGGAGACAGCTTCTTTAAAACCGGCGCTAACTCCTTGCGAAAATCTCGCGCGTTGGTTAAACTATTTGAGGAACNTCCTTGTTGTTTTCTCTTCCAGATGCCGGACCAACGACTTGGAGACAGCTGCTTTAAAACCGGCGCTAACTCCTTGCGAAAATCTCGCGCGTTGGTTAAACTATTTGAGGAACCAGGTTAGCGTCGATATTGTTAGTGGACGGAGGATGGGGAAAGGTCAAGGTGGGTGTTGGCCCTCCCACTGAGTGGGTTATTTGCAATTCGTTATGTTGTTTAGGGACCGCCCCTGTACTGCGATCTTGATTCCCTGGTAAATTATTGCAGTCTCCCTGCCTAATATCTCCACGACTTGCCCCAACATTACCGCCCCTAATTCGATCCGAGAGATCTATAAACGCTGAGTCGTTTGCGCATGGCGCTTTAGGGTTTGGCACATTCGCTGCATGCATAGCAGCGTTTCTAGTTTTAGAGCGCGTCTTGTATGGGATGGACACCTTTCATCCGCGTGATATTCTTTACCTATAGCCCTCAATTTACTCCTTTTGTTCTTTAAACCCGTATGATTTACATGCGGGAGGTTCAGATGACTTCGGGGTTTCAAATTATTATTTAATATTATTATTTTTTTTGTTTTTTTGTTTTTTTGAATTTATAGTCGTGATTGGAGCAGACCCTATCATTCCTGTGGGAGCGTATGCTACTAAAAATGTCGGAGGATTATGCGTTATGCTACACAATTGTTTGGACAGTTGCGGTAACAACGTCTCTTTGCATTCCAAGCAACTTATTTTTTTATTTATTTATTTATTTGTTACAGTCTTACGACTTAATAATACAGGCAAACTAGACAAGTGGTCTGGACTNCCTCAATTTACTCTTTTTGTTCTTTAAACCCGTCTGATTTACATGCGGGAAGTTCAGATGACTGCGGGGTTTCAAATTATTATTTATTATTATTATTTTATTTATTTTTGTTTTGTTTTTTTGAATTTATAGTCGTGATTGGAGCAGACCCTATCATTCCTGTGGGAGCGTATGCTCTTTCTGTAACTAAAAATGTCGGAGGATTATTATTATTTTTTTTTTTTTGGAAGATCTATCGCGTTATGCTTCACAATTGTTTGGACAGTTGCGGTCTCTTTGCATTCCAAGCAACTTATTTTTTTATTTATTTATTTATTTGTTACAGTCTTACGACTTAATAATACAACTATGATATTCGTACATACATATGTATTTGAATTGTAATGTTCTTATTGCAAAAATTACCAAATTAAATATAAAATTAT